GAGTGAAAGGCCCTGCAGGAACCCCCCATCCCTGCATGGCTCTGCACCCCACACCTGCCCCAGTGACCCCTCTCTGTACTCCCCATTCCCCCCCTTTGGACGCTCCTGGGTCCCTATGGGTACCACCAGACCTCACTGCTGCTCCCCTCACCCCACCTGGACACCCCAGCCCCCCCGTTTGTGGCCCCACACTCACCCACCACGGTGAGGGGCACAGCGTGGGGCAGCAGAGGCAGCCACCCCCTCCCCCTCCACACGCAGGGGGCGAAACCCAGCAGGGCCTTCAGCCCCCTCTGCAGCCTCCGCATCCAGGAGCCCTCAGGGAAGGAGATTTGGGGCAGCGCCTGCAGCTCTCCGAACACAAACACGGGCACCAGGGGGGTCCTGGGGGGCAAAGGGCCCTTGGGCGGCGGTGGGAAAATCCACCCCCCCATTTGGATTTATTGACATCATTGACCCCACTGCCCAGGTCCCGTTCATCCCCATTCATCCCACTGATTCCCACTGACCCCATTCATCCCTAATTTCACCCACCCCCCCATCCACCTGCTGCCTCCCCTCCCTCCCTGCTGATCCCCACTGACCCCTTTGATTCCCACTGATTCATCCCATTGCCCCCCTCCCTGCCCGCCCCCCCAGCCCCTACCCGTAGCGCAGCGCCATCCTCACGAAGCCAAACCGCCCCTTCAGGGTGATGTGGGGGCACTGGGGGTCCCCGGGGTCCAATGCCTCTGCAGCCCCCCCCACGACGATGAGCAGCGCCTGACCGGGCTGTGACAGCACCCTCTGCAGGCAGGGCCGGGACACGGGGCACAGCCCTGGATGGGACACCCCAAAAAGTTACCTGGGATCCCCCCCTAAAATCCCCCAATTCTACCCGGTGCTCTGAAAACACCCAAATTTCACACGCCCTCCTCCCTCCCCCCTCCAAATCCCATCACACCCAAATATAGCAGGAAGAGAACCATAAAACCCCCAAAAGCCAAAGCCCCAGAAGACCCCCCCCTCAAAGCCTCCCAAATCCAACAAAAATCTCCCAAATCCACCCCCTCTCCCCAGATCCCACCCCCAGAAAACAAACAACCCCCAAAACCCCCAACCCTCCAATAAAACCAAGCCCCCTCCGCCCCCCAAATCCTCAAGGGCTCCCCCCACAAAACCAACCCCTCTCCAACCCCCTCCCCCCAACTCACCCGCAGCCATGGCGTATTCACGGTACAGGGGCAGATGGAAGAGCCCCCCCAGAGCAGCCAGCGTGGGTTTAAGGCCGGGGCAGGGACCCCCCGAGCCCCCCCGGCCCCCCCAGGCCCCCCGACCCCCACTGACGAAGGCACCGAAGATCCCAATGCAGGCAACGCCGTGGGGGTGGGCAGCCAGCAGGTAACTGCGGTGGGGGGGCAGAGGGGCCGTGCGGATCACCTGGGGGGGGACATGGGGGCATTGGGGGGGACGTGGGGACATTCAGCCCCACAGTCCCCATTGGACCCCACTGAGCTCACTGTCCTCATTCATCCCCCCACATCCGCCCCCCCCTCATTGACTCTACTTCCCCCCCATCTCCGTTGACCCCCATGCCCTCCTTTGATCCCATTGACCCCATTGGGCCCAACTGCGCTCCCTTCATCCCCCATTGACCCATTTCCTTCCCTTCTGCCCCATTTCTCCCCACATTCCCCACAACTCCTCCCCCCCCATTGCCCCCACTTCCCTTCTCTTCCCACTACCTGCCCCCCCGTGTCCCCGCACCGTGATGGGGAAATAATCACAGAAATATTCCCAAATCTTCCAGTTCCGCACCCAACGGCTGTGACGGGGACCTGGAAGGGGGGGGAATGGGGACAAAGTTCTCACAGTGAGGGGGGAAATGAGAAGGGAGATGGGGGTGTCACCCTCCCCCCCCATCTTCCCAACCCCTCCCCCCTGGAGTCCCTTTCTCACCTCTCTCAGGGCCGTTCCAGTCCCAAAGCCACCAACCCCAATAGAGCACAGCCAGCAGCCACAGGCGGGAGCACAGCAGGGCCAACAGCAGCAGCACCGAGCTGGGACCTGGGGGGGGGGAGGGTCAGGGAGTGGGCAGAGAGAGGACATATGGGGGAGGATGAGGGGGACGTTGGGACAGCATTGCCCCCCAGATTTCTCTCCCTAAATTCCAC